GGCGGCCGCAAGGCGCCTCGCCGCAGTCGCCGTCGTCGTCGCCTTCGTCGTCGTAGTCGTCGTCGTCGTCTTTGCCGCCGCCGTCGCCGTCGCCGCGGCCGTCGCCATGGCCGTCTCCGTCGTCCGTCGTCGTCGTCCGTCGTCCGCCGTCCTTCGTCAGTCGTGGCCGTCGTCGTCGTCATCGTCGTCGCCGTCGTTGTCGTCGTCGTCGTTGTCGTGATCGTGGTCGTTGTTGTCGTCGTCGTAGTCGTCGTCGTCGTCCGTAGTCCGTCGTCCGTCGTCCGTCGCCCGTCGTTGTCATTGTTTGTCATTCGTCTTTCGTCGTTTGCCGTCGTCGTTGTCGACGTCGTCGTCGTCGTCGTCGTTGTCGTCGTCGTGTTCGTTGTCCTTGTCTGTCGTCCGTCGTCGTCGTCCGTCCATCGTCCTTGTCTGTCGTCAATCGTCAATCGTCGTCCACGTCGTCGTTCGTCGTCCGTCGTCCGTCGTCCGTCGTCGTCGTCGTCGTCGTCGCCGTTGTCGTCGTCGTCGTGGTCGTCGTCGTCGTTGTCGATGTCGTGTTCGTCGTCGTCGTCTGTCGTTTGTCGTCTGTCGTCCGTCGTCGTCGTCGTCGTCGTCGTCGGCGTCGTGGTCGTCGTCGTCGTGGTCGATGCCGTGTTCGTCGTCCTTGTCTGTCGTCCGTCGTCCGTCGTCCGTGTCGTCGATGTCGTAGTCGTCCTTGTCGTCGTCATCGTCGTCGGTCGTCGTTGTCGTTGTCGTCGTCGTCATCGTCCGTCGTCCGTAGTCTGTCGTCCGTCGTGTCGTCGTCGTCACTGTTGTCGGTCGTCGTTGTCGTTGTCGTCGTCGTCATCGTCCGTCGACCGTAGTCCGTCGTCCGTCGTCCGTCGTCCGCCTTCTCTCGTCGTCGTCGTCGTCGTCGTCGGTGTCGTCCGTCGTCGTCATCTGTCGCCGTCCGTCGTCGCCCTCCGTCCCGTCCGTGCCTCCTCCCTGCCTCGTCGTCCTCCTTCCCTCCCTCTCACCATCTTCCCCCCATTGGATCTGATTCTCCTTCTGTACCATCCTTCTTATTCTTCTGTTTTGCTTCTGTTCTGCTTGCTGCGTCCGTCCGTGGTCTCTCGTCTGTCGTCGTCGTCGTCTTCGTCGTCCGTCGTCCGTCGTCCAACGTCCGCCGTCCGTCGCACGTTGTCGTCATTGTTCGTCGTTCGTCGTTAGTCGTTTGTCGTCGTCGACGTTGTCGTCGTCCGTCGTCGGTCGTCAGTGTCCGTAGTCCGTCGTCGTCGTTCGTCGTCCGTCGTCCGTCATCCGTCGTCGTCGTCGTCGTCCGTCGTCCGCCGTCCGTCGTCGCCCGTCCGTCGTCAGTCGTCCGTTGTCCGTCGCAAGTCGTCGGTCGTCCGTCGTTCGTCGTTCGTCGTCGTCGTCCTCTGTCGGCGTCGTCGTCGTCGTCGTCGTCCGTCGTCCGTCGTCCGTCGTCCGTCGTCCGTCGTTCGTCGTCTGTCGTCCTTCGTCCGTCGCGTCGTCATCGTCGTCGTCGTCGTCGTCGTCGCCGTCGTCGCCGTCTTCGTCGACGTCGTCGTCGTCGGCGACATCATCCGTCGTCGTTGTCGTCGTCGTCGTCGTCGTCGTCGTTGTCTTCGTCGGTGTCGTCGTTGTCGTTGTCGTCGTCGTCGTCGTCGTCGTCGTCGTCGTCCCCAGTCGTCGTTGTCGTCGTCGTTGTCGTCGTGGTCGTCGTGGTGTTCGCTCCCGTCGTCCGGCGTCGTCGTCGTCCGTTGTCCGTCGTCATCGTCGTCTGTCGTCGTCGTCGTCGCCGTCGTCGTCGTCGTCGTCGTCGTCATCTTTCTCGTCGTCGTCGTCGGTCGTCGGTCTTCGTCGTCGTCGTCGTGGTCGTCGTAGTCGTCGCCGTCCGTCGTCCATCGTCCGTCGTCCGTCGTTCGTCGTCGTCGTCGTCGCCGTCCAGTTTCCGTTGTCCGTCGTCCGTCGTCCAACGCCCGTCGCCCGTCGCCGTCGTCCATTATCAGTGTGCCGTCGTCCATTGTTCGTCGTTCGTCGTCCGCGGTCCGTCGTCCGTCGTTCGTCGTTCGTGGTTCGTCGTTCGTCGTCGTTGTCTTCGTCGTCGTCCAGTCTGTGTCCGTCGTCCGTCGCCGTCATCCGTAGTCCGTCGTCCGTTGTCCTTTTGCCGACGTCCGTCGTTCGTCGTCCGTCGTCCGTCGTTTGTCGTTATCGTCGTTGTCTGTCGTCCGTTGTTCGTCGTTCGTCGTACGTCGTTCGTCGCCGTTCGTCGTCGTTCGTCGTTCGTCGACGTCGCTCGTCGCTTGTCATCGTCGCTGTAGTCGCCGTCAATCGTTTGTTGTTCGTCGTTCGGTGTTCGTCGTCGTCGTCGTTCGTCGTCGTTTGTCTTTCGTCGCTCGTTGGTTGTCTTTCGTCGCTCGTCGTCGCCGTCGTCGTCTGTCGTTCGTTGTTCGTCGCCGTCGTTCGTCGTCGTCGTCGTCCGTCGTCCGTCGTCCGTCCTCCGTCGTCCGTTGTCCGTCGTTCGTCGTCCGTCGCTCGTCGTCCGTCGTCGTCGTCGTCTGTAGTTCGTTGTCTGTCGTCTGTCGTCGTCGTCGGCCTCGTCGTCGTCGTCGTCGTCGTCCGTCGTCCGTCGTCCGTCGTCGTCATCGTTCGTCATTCGTCGTTCGTCGTTCGTCGTCGTAATCGTCGTCGTCGTCGTCGTCGTTGACGTTGACGTTGACGTTGTCGTCGTCGCCGCCTTCGTTGTCCGTTGTCCGTAGTCCGTCGTCCGTCGTTGGTGTCCGTTGTCCGTCGTCCGTCGTTTGTCGTCCATCGACCGTCGTCCGTCGTCCGTCGTCGTCGTCGTCCGTCGTCCGTCGCCAGTTGCCTGTCGTCCGTCGTCGTCTGTCCATAGTGCGTCGTGCGTCGTCTGTCGTCCGTTGTCCGTCGTTCATCGTTCGTCGTCGTCGTTCGTCGTTCGCCGTCGTTGTCGTCGTCGTCGGCGTCGGCGTCGGCGTCGGCGTCGGCGTCGACGTCGTCATCTTCGTCGTCGTCGTTGTTGTCGTTGTCGTCGTTCGTCGTTCGTCGTCGTCGTCGTCATCGTCGTCGTTGTCGTTCTCGTCGTCGTCGTCGTGGTCGACGTCGTCGTGTCCTTCGTCTTCGTCGTTGTTGTTTTCGTCGTCGTCGTCGATCGTCGATCGTCATCTTCGTGGTCGTCGTCGTCTCCGTCGTCGTCCATCGTCGACGTCGTCGTTGTCGTCTTCGTCGTCGTCGTTTTACGGCGCTGGTTGTCGCCTGCGTCGTTCGCCAGCGGCGAGAAGGGAGGGCGGCGGGCATAACCCCCTCCCCTTGCTTCTGGAGGGGGGGAGGTCCGGCTCGCGGGGCTCCCGCGGGAGGGGTGGGTGGGCCGGGGATGGTTGGGGGGGGATTCGGGGAGGCGCCGGGAGTTTTTTTTTCGCAGCGAGGGTGGTACGGTAGGTTAGTGTCGTGTCGACCAGCGGCGACCCCGACGCCGACGTTCACGAACCTTCCGTACGTCTTGTTTCTGGGAACCCTGCATGGTATATTTCCCTGTCGGTGGCCGAGGAAGTCGCTCTCTCACACCTCGGGGGGCCACTCTTGGACCTCTCCTGGGGCCCTTCCGGGTCCCTCCTGGGGCTCTCTTGGGGTTCTCGTGGATGTCTTTTGGGCCCTCTTGGAGTTCTATTGGCTGTTAGGGCCAGCGGTCGGCCTGGCCGAGGTCATTTTGACGCTCGCAGTCCGGCTGGCTCGCTCGCTGCATCTCCTTTGGCTTGTGCTCCATCTCCTCGGCTCGAGCAGCGAGAGGCTGCGCTGGGACAGCCTGCACCGCGCCCCATCCCCCCGCAGCTCCCTCCTGGCGCATCAGAGCGCGTTCCAAGGAGGGTCGAAGGGTGGACCTCTCCCTGACTTCCTCGAGGCGCTAATTGATCACGATGCGAGTAGGTCACGCTTACAGCATCTATGACGTTCTCGTCTTTCTTCTCGTGCTCTCCAGCCTCGGGATGGCGTCCTGCAGCTGCGCCTCGCCGAGAGCGCTCCAGGGCGTGCCCGAGGCAGGGCTTCGAGCCACGTGCGGAACCCGGGGGACCCCCGGGCAGTCTGACAACGTCCCGGGAGGAAAGGCCAGCGCCCCGGGAAGGGGTCCAGACCCTGGGAAGGGGTCGACCTCCCGGACAGCCGGCGCCCCCCCCCAAAAAGAGGAGCGGGGTGCCGCGGAGGCTTGGACGTTTTCCCAGGGGCCAGCTTCTCACCCCGAGTCGTTTTCTCAGGGCTCAGGAGCCAGCAGCGGGCGACCCCGGAGCCCGAAAACAACTGAACGCTTCCCGTCGTGGCATTTGTCTTAAGTCGGGCCTGTCCCTCTACACGAGGAATATTCAAAAATAGTACAAAATACTCAGGGGACGATTTTTCGAATATTTTGGCAGTATTTTTCATTTTCATCCAAAATCTGCCTGTAGGGGGACATGCCCGACCTAGCACTTCTCGCAGCGAGGGGATGCACGGGGTTCGGGGAGCCACGTTGTGAAGAGATCGTGACTTGGGATGTCGCGGTGTGGCCCCTGGTGGAGGCTGCGCAGCATCCGCGTGGATCGTTGGCCAGTGGGGCATTCAAGCAGGAACATGGACGTATGAGCCGCTCGTGGCAGCAGGCACGTTCATAGACACGCCGTGTTCAGTTTTCGGAGCGGAGGCCAGTGCCCTAGACAAGGCTCTGCGGGAAGTCCATGCCCTTCTCATTTCTCGCAACTGCCGTAACAGTCGCAAACCATTGGCGGCGTCGCTGGCGGCACGTCGGGCAAGCTGGGAGCCCTCACCGGGTCACTGGGCGACGGGGCCCCAGGACCGTCAGGAGAGGAGTCGGAGTAGAAAGCTGGTCCCCGAGGAGTGGTCCAGACCGGTGGGGTGACGAGTTGTGAAACAGGCGCGGTGTGGGATGTCCAGGTAGCATCACTTCCCTCTCCTTTCCTCGGCCCCTTCGCGACGGCGGCGCCGCGGTCATGGCGGACTACAGCAAGTGGGACAAACTGGTCGACAGCGGCGACGAGGCGGAGCCTGGGCAGCTCAGCCGCCAGGAGCAGTGCGAGATGCACCTGGTCCGTCAGGAGGAGATGCAGCAGTGGCTGCGGCGGCAGATAGCCAGGCTGGACGAGCCGGGTGCCAAGCGGGCTCCCGGACGGCACCCTGCCGCCTCCAGCAGCTTCGATGACGACGTCTACGGCGGCAGCAGCGGGCCGCCTGAGCTTGACAAGTTCGAGGCGGCCCCAGTCAGGAAATTGACGAAGGAGGAGCGGAAGATTGTGGCGATGTTTTGCGTAGTGAGCCACTTCGACGATGGCCAAACGAACCTTGAGAGGCACCCTCAGATGCTGGATCTCGTGCGCCACAACAGGTGGCTGGAGGAGGACCCCGGCACGCTGGAGCTGCTCTGCAGGATACAGGCCTCCTCCCTGAAGAGGTCGGGCAAGAAGCAGGACGGTCCCCAGGAGGATCCGCAGGAGGCAAGAATGCGAGACATGCTGGTGAGTGGGATGAACACGCTCGCTGGCGCGAAGAAGTGTAAGTTGCCTGGGGGTCTCCTGGAGATGATTACGGCGATCTGCACTCCTACCACCGACAAGGCCAGGGAGATGAGAGTAAAGTGGCAGAAGAAGGAGTACGCAAAAGAGGCGCTCCTGGAGTCGATGTTCCCAGAGCTCAGGGATTCAAGGGATGCACTCGACGACGTCGGGGGCTGGAAGGACATCCTCATGTTTGCGGGGATCTTTCTGCTGCTTATCTTGATTATCGAAGACGCCTACGGCGAATCACCGCGGCCCTCTGCCTTTTTGGAAGCGCCTATGTGGCCGAACGTTGAGGCCAGACCTGCCAAGCTATCGGACCATGTGTTCCCCGAATCGGTTTGGAAAGCCTTCGGGAACATGTGGGCATCTTGAAGGTCATCTTGGCCGTCTGCAGGCCATTTTGACCCTTTCGGGCCTTCTTGGAGGGCGTCTTGGAGGGCTCTTGGGCCGTCTTGGAGGCCATCTTGAGCGTCTTGGAGGCCTCTTGGGCCGTCTTGGGGGCCTCTTGGGGCCGTGTCTTGGGCCTCTTGGGCGATCTTTGGGGGCACTTGGGCCGTCTCGGGCCGTCGGAAGGCAGGAAAAAAGCGAATGCCACAATCCTTCAAAAACCCATGGGAAATCAATGATTTTGACCGGCCTCTTGGGCCGTCTTGGGCCATCTTAGGGCCATGTTCGGCCGTCTTGGTGGGCTCCTGGTCCGTCTGACGCCGGTGGAAGCCGTTTGGGGGGCCTCTATGGGCCGACTTGGGGCCCTCTTGGAATGCTCCAGGGCCGTCTTGGAGGCCGTCTTGTGCGTCTTAAAGGCCTCCTGTGCCGTCTTGGGGGCCTCTTGGGGCCGTCTTGGGGCCCTCTTGGGCCCTTCTGGGGCCATCTTGGCGGCCTGTTGGGCGATCTTTCAGCGATCTTTGGGGGCCTCTGGGGCCGTCTCGGGCCGTCGGAAGGCCGAAAAGAAGCAAATGTCAAAATCCGTCAAACATCTTTGGACCATCAAGGTTTTTGGCCTCTTCTGGCCTTCCTGGAGGCCCTCTTGGGGGCCTCTTGGGCCGTCTTGGGCCAGCTTCGAGCCAACTTCGGCCATCTTGGTGGGTTCCTGGCACGTCTGACGCCGTCGGGAGCCGTCTTGGGGGCCTCCCTGGGCCGACTTGGGGCCATCTTGGGGCGCTTCGGGGCCGTCTTGGAGGCCATCTTGGGCGTCTTGGAGGCCATCTTGGGCGTGTCGGAGGCCTCTTGGGCCGTCTTGGGGCCCTCTTGGGGCCGTCTTGGAGGCCACTTGGGCAGTCATGGGGCTCTCTTGGGGGCCTCTTGGGCGATCTTGGGGGCCTCTTGGGTCGTCTTGAGCCGTCGGAATGCAGAGAAGAAGCAAATTCCAAAATCCTTCAAGAACCTATGGAAAATCAATGATTTTGGCCTCTTCGGGCCCTCCTGGAGGACCTTTTGGATGCCTCTTGGGCCGTCTTGGAGGCCTCTGGGGGGCCTCTTGGGCCGTCTTGGGCCGTCTTGGACTCTCTTGGGCCGTCTTGGAGGCCGTCTTGGACTATCTTGGGCGGACTTGGAGGCCATCTTGGACTATCTTGGACCATCTTGGAGGCCATCTTGGGCCAACGTGGCCATCTTGGAGGCCATCTTGAACCATCTTGGAGGATTTTTTCCGGATCGAGCTCCTTGAGATCCTTTCCGGGTGGCCTGCGGGACGGGCCGAAGCCCCAGGGTGAGTTCTTTTGGGAAAAGGACCCAAATCAAAAGCCATATCGTTTGGCACGCCAGGCACCCCTTTGATAAATCAAAAGGGGGCAGCGGATCGAAGACGCCTACGGCGAATCACCGCGGCCCCCTGCCTTTTTGGAAGCGCCTATGAGGCCGAACGTTGAGGCCAGACCTGCCAAGCTATCGGACCATGTGTTCCCCGAATCGGTTTGGAAAGCCTTCGGGGAACATGTGGGCATCTTGAAGGTCATCTTGGCCGTCTGGAGGCCATTTTGAATCTTTCGGGCCTTCTTGGAGGGCGTCTTGGAGGGCTCTTGGGCCGTCTTGGAGGCCTTCTTGAGCGTCTTGGAGACCTCTTGGGCCGTCTTGGGGGCCTCTTGGGGCCGTGTCTTGGGCCTCTTGGGCGATCTTTGGGGGCATTTGGGCCGTCTCGGGCCGTCGGAAGGCAGGAAAAAGCAAATGCCACAATCCTTTCAACACCCATGGGAAATCAATGATTTTGGCCTTTTCGGGCCTTCCTGGAGGGCCTCTTGGAGGCCTCTTGGGCCGTCTTGGGCCATCTTAGGGCCATGTTCGGCCGTCTTGGTGGGCTCCTGGTCCGTCTGACGCCGTCGGAAGCCGTTTGGGGGGCCTCTATGGGCCGACTTTGGGCCCTCTTGGAATGCTCCAGGGCCGTCTTGGAGGCCATCTTGGGCGCCTTAAAGGCCTCCTGTGCCGTCTTGGGGGCCTCTTGGGGCCATCTTGGGGCCCTCTTGGGGCCGTTCTGGGGCCATCTTGGAGGTTTCTTGGGTGATCTTTCGGCGATCGTTGGGGGCATTTGGGCCGTCTCGGGCTGTCGGAAGGCCGAAAAGAAGCAAATGTCAAAATCCATCAAACATCTTTGGAACATCAAGGTTTTTGGCCTCTTCTGGCCTTCCTGGAGGCCCTCTTGGGGGCCTCTTGGGCCGTCTTGGGCCAGCTTCGAGTCAACTTCGGTCATCTTGGTGGGTTCCTGGCACGTCTGACGCCGTCGGGAGCCGTCTTGGGGGCCTCTCTGGGCCGACTTGGGGCCCTCTTGGGGCGCTTCGGGGCCGTCTTGGAGGCCATCTTGGGCGTCTTGGAGGCCATCTTGGGCGTGTTGGAGCTTGGGCCGTCTTGGGGCCCTCTTGGGGCCGTCTTGGAGGCCACTTGGGCCGTCATGGGGCTCTCTTGGGGGCCTCTTGGGCGATCTTGGGGGCCCCTTGGGCCGTCTTGGGCCGTCGGAAAGCCGAAGAGGCGCAAATGCCAGAACCCTTCAAAAACCTATGGAAAATCAATGATTTTGGCCTCGTCGGGCCTTCTGGAGGACCTCTTGGAGACCTCTTGGGCCGTCTTGGAGGCCTCTTGCGGTCCTTCTGGACCGTCTTAGACCATCTTGAGGCCATTTTGGGCCGTCTTGGGTGCATCTTGGAGCCATCTTAGCCGTCTTTGAGGCCATCTTGGCCGTCTTGGAGGCATCTTGGAGACCATCCTGGGCCATCTTGGCCGTCTTGGAGGCCATCTTGGGCCATCTTGGGGCAACAGAAGCATTGACAGATGGGTTTCCTGGGACCCCGGCGGGACGGGCCGAAGCCCCAGGGTGAGTTCTTCTGGAAAAAGAGCAATTTCCAAAACCGTAATAATTTGGCACGCCAGGCACCCTTGCGATGAATCGACAGGGGGCGGCGTCTAATGACCTTCGGCCCATTCCGCCACCGTGCCTGGGTTGTTGGTATGAAGCCTATTGGATGTTCGTTAGGATCTTTGGAAGGCCTCTCGGGGGCCTCTTGGATGCAATTTGGAGACCTCTTGGGGGCCGTTTTGGTGCCTCTTGGGGCTTCTTTTGGGCCTTTGGAGGGCCTCTTGGGGCCTCTTGGGGGCCTCTTGGGAGCCTCTTGAGGCCTCCTGGGCGCCTCTTGGGGCCTCCTGGGGACCTCGTGGGGCGGAAGGCTCGGACCTTCGATTCGTGTTCGCTCTCAGGGGGCCTTTTTTGGGCCGTCTTGGGGCCCTCTTGGGTCGTCTTCGGTGCCTCTTGGGCCGTCTTGATGCGCTCTTCGGCCGTCCTGGGGCCTTCTTGGAGGCCTCTTGGGCCGTTTTGGGGTGGTCTTGGGGGCCTCTTGGGCCGTCCTGGAAGGTCGGAAAGCCGAGAAGTCGATACGCCAAAATCCATCGAAAACCTTCGGACAATCAATGATTGTTGCCTCTTGGGGCCCTCTTGGGAGGCCTCTCGGAGGCCTCCTGAGGCATCTTGGGGGCCTCTTGAGCCGTCTGGGGGCCATCTTAGTCGTCTTGGGCCGATCTTTCGGCGACTCCGAACCCTCTTGGGCCGCCTTTGGGGCTCCTTCAAGACTCCTCAGGAGTGAGGGTTGAGGCTTAGAGGATTGGGCCCAGGACCTGAGAACACGCCCACTCCGAGCCCAGCGGCACGGTGGCGGATTGTACTCATGCTCTACATGCCAACCTCCGAGAATCGGAAAAACGCATCCTGGGGGACACCGTACGGGTTCAAGTGGCTCTTCGGCGAGCCGACCCCGAATAACAAGACCGGGTTTGATGCCTGGACAGCCAACGCCATGAGGTCGGCGAAGACAGACCTGGGCGCTGGCGGTGGCTGCGACACGAGTTATTATTATTGCGACGATCGCGATTATTATCCCGTTGCGTTGCCGCGCGAATCCGCCATGACTATCAAGTGGGCGCCCGGAGGAGAGGGGGGCCGAGGTTGTCCGCGGCTCGAGCGGTTCGGCTGCGCCGCAGTGGGCTGCGTTAGGCGGTTCGGCCCGGTCGGTTGAGGCGTCGTTATTTCGCCGCTGCGCCCTCATGGGCTGCGTTTGCCCGATGCGGTTTCGGTCGGTCCTGGTTTCGCAGTCCATTTGCGACGGTTTTCGATGATGCCGTCGCCGTAAGCGGCCTTGGGGGGTGGAGTGGGTCTGGGACGAAGGGGGCGGCATGCCAAGGAAACCGCCGCCTGCAACGTTGACCTTGGCACGATGGCTTGCCCTGAGGGCAAAAAAGCGCGGGGACCTGGCCGGCAAGAGTGAGCACACGTTGGGGCCCGATGCGTCGGGCGGGCCCTGAATGCTGCTCCGCGGAAGGGGAAGATGATGAAGCAGACGGGGGCCCGACGCACACCAACTCATGATCGTCAGAAACATGCCCACCCCGAACAGGACAAGGTAAGTGCGCTCTCCCGGCATCCCCCCCCCCAGGTGAGGATGGGTGCAGCGACGCCCGAGGGAGACGCCTCCCATTCCAACTTAAAAAGGGGGTGGATCGGCCAGTGGGTCTCCCTTTTCCCTGGTGGGGGCGGGGAAAGATTTGCCCGTCCACACCGACGGCCGCAGAGGCGCGGTGGCAGATTACTCCTCCGACTATTCCGGCTCCTACTATTCGTATTATTCGTACTATTACGGCGAGGCCGCCCCCAAGGGCGCCGAGCTCTGAGGGGCTCACCGGGCGTGGCGGCGGGGCCATTGTCAGCCACGCGCAGAGGGGGGTGGGGGGAGGGGGGAGGGCCTCTTAGAAGCACCCCTGCTTCTTAGAAGGCGCGGGCCTTATCGATAGATGTAAGGCCGGCGCCTTCTAAGAAGCAGCCTCCTTCTAAGAAGCCCTCCCCCCTCCCTCCACCCCCTAGTGCGCGCCGCCAACATGGAGTCTGCCGCGGGCGCCCACTGCTCCTCCTGGTGGCAGCGCGCACCGAGGTGCTGGGGCGAGGCGCGGGGCGGAGGGCCGAGAGGCGCTGCCACCACCAGCGGGCCACCTTTCGCGAGGAGGCCTACGATGCCAGCATCCTGCGGTCTCTCATAGGGGACCGAACAATGACATAAATATAAAAACTCGGAGATCCGCGCGGATTTCTCGGATCGGCGACAGACCCCCCTCCCTGCCGCCAGGGGGTCCAGCGCCGATCCGAGAAATCCGCGCGGACCTCCGAGTCTTCATGCTCGTGGCATTTTTCGTTCCCCTACCTCAGGAGGGGCGACTCTCCTGTCCCTCTCCTCTTCCGATGATCCTCAGAACGTGGGTTAGCCCAATGTGTGTGTGTGTGTGTGTGTGTGTTTCCCCCGTTCCGCTCCGCCGGCAGCGCGCAGTCTGTGTCCGCCCTCACAGTGACCGCCTGCGTCGTGTTGAAGGGCCTCGGTGGACCAGCACGCGTTGGCGCTAGCACTTTCTGACTTGTGGTCGGTTGAAAATTTTGTTCTCGAAATCTAGTATTTTTTCCGGTGATATTCGATCTTATTCCCGCTCGCCGTCTCAATCTGAGATCGATTGGGTAGATATTACGAGGATCATCGAGGGGGCCCCTCTCCTCCCTCTGCCCTCCCGTCCCCGTCCCCGTCCCTCTCCCGCTCTGAGGCTCATCGAGGGGGTCCCCGTTGGCGCCAGCTTTAGGTCGGGCCTGTCCCTCTACTGGAGGAAAATTCAGAAATAGTCAAAAAATAGAATGGGGACCATTTTTGGAGTACTTTTGGGCATCCTTTGAGCATTTTTGGAGTATGTTTGATTTTTCGTTCAAAATCTCCCTGCAGGGGGACAGGCCCGACCTAACGCCAGCTCACTTTCTGAGGGTCATCGAGGGGATCATCGAGGGGGTCCCTCCCCTCCCCCCTCGAGGGGGTCCCTTTCCTCTGCCCTCCCGTCCCCGTCCCCGGTGGTGCGCACGAGCGGGCGGCGCGAGGGTGGCGGTCTTCCGAGACGGCTCGGGGGCTTCCAAGAAGTCGGGTGGCTTCTTCTTCCGAAGAAGGAAAATTATAAGCACAATGACAAGACCAAGACAGGTGGCTTCTTCTGAAGAAGACGGATAATAATAATCGTAGGACAATTCATATTAATGGTAATGGTAGCAAGAAGACTGCTACGAGCAATAATGATATCAATGATAGTAGTAAGAAGAAGAAGAAGAAGACGAATAAGGCACATAATAAAACGAAGAAAACGAAGATTACTGATCAGAAGAAACAGAAATGGAGAAACATAAGCTTGTGGAGCTCTGCGCGGATCTCTTGGATCGGCGCCGAACCCCCGTCCCTGGCGCGCGCCAGGGGCGGCGCCAGAGGCGCCGCCACTGGGGCCCAGCGCCGATCCAAGAAATCCGCGCGGAGCTCTTAAAGCTCATGTTTATGCTGTTATTTGTTCTGCTGTTCTTCGAAGCCCTCCCGGCTTCCGAGCAGCCTCTCGAGAAGCCTCCGGCCCCTTCTTTGATGTGTTGATGATTATGGAAAGGATGACGATGGTGATGATGATGCTGCTGCTGATGATGATGGTGGTGGTGATGATGATGACGATAACTACGACGATGACGATGAGAATGATGATGATGCTGATGATGATGCTGATGATGATACTAAGGATGAGGATGATGATGATGATGTTGATGATCTGATGTTGGTGATGATGATCACCACGACGCCGATTACGACTATGCTGATGATGCTGACGATGATGACGATGACGATGATGACGTTGATGTTGATGATGGTGACGGTGGATGATGATGGCGGTAATTGCGATGATGCTGCTGATGATGGTGACTATATTGATGTTCATGATCTGGAGAATTGGCGATGATGCTGATGATGGCGTTGATGACGATGGCTAGGATGATGATGGTGATGATGCTGATGCTGATGCTGATGATGATGCTGCTGATGAAAGTGATGATGTGTTGATGACTATGAGGAGAATGACGATGTTGATGATGATGATGCTGCTGCTGATGATGATGATGATGATGTTGATGATGACGATGATAACTACGACGATGACGATGATACTGATGCTGATGATGCTGCTGATGATGATGATGATGATGATGATGATGATAAGGATGAGGATGCTGATGATGTTGATGACCTGATGATGATGATGGTGATGATGATGATGATGAGCACGACGCCGATGACGACTATGCTGATGATGCTGATGATGATGATGACGATGATGACGTTGATGCTGATGATGGTGACGATTAATGATGATAACGATAATTGTGATGATGCTGCTGATGCTGCTGATGATGGTGAGGTTGACGATCTGGAGAATTCTTTACGCTTCGCGTATCCCCACCAGCCCATCTCACAGCAGCAACTCTTGCGAAGCATGCCGACAGTCGTGTTTTTCAGGCGTGTGTCCGCTTGGCCCCGCATATCTCCCCTGTTCCTCCTTCCTCCCGCCTCCTTGTACATCCTCCTTGTGGGGGGAGCGGGAGAAGGACGAGGCGGAGGAGGAGGGAGAGAAAGCGCTCCTCGTGATTTGAGTCGTTTGGGGTTTCTCGTCCTGGTGTGAGTCGTTCGGGCCCTTCTTCCTGGTGTGAGTCGTTCGGGCTCTTCGTGGTGTGAGTCGTTCGGGCTCTTCGTCCTGGTGTGAGTCGTTCGGGCTTCTCGTGGTGTGAGTTGTTCGGGCCCCTCATCCTGGTGTGAGTCGTTCGGGCCCCTCCTCCTGGTGTGACTCGTTCGGGCTCCTCGTGGTGTGAGTCGTTCGGGGCCCGCGTCGTGGTGTGAGTCGTTCGGGCTCCTCGTGGTGTGAGTCGTTCGGGCGCCTCGTCCTGGTGTGAGTCGTTCGGGCCCCTCCTTGTGGTGTGAGTCGTTCGGGCTCTTCGTGGTGTGAGTCGTTCGGGCCCCTCGTCCTGGTGTGAGTCGTTCGGGCTCCTCGTGGGGCCTCTTGGGGGCCTCTTGGAGCCTCTTGGGGCCTCTTGGGGGCCTCTTGGGGGCCTCTTGGGGGCCTCTTGGGGGCCTCTTGGGGCCTCTTGGGGCCTTGGGGGCCTCTTGGGGGCCTCTTGGGGGCCTCTTGGGGCCTCTTGGGGGCCTCTTGGGGGCCTCTTGGAGGCCTCTTGGGAGCCTCCTGGGGGCCTCTTGGGGCCATCTTGGGGCCTCTTGCGACCTCCTCAGAAGCGCAAATGAGCGCTGCCCCCTGAGAAGGACAAAATGAGCCCCAAACCTTCGTAAATTCAATGATTTTGCTATGAAGGAAGATGAGCGCGGCCCCCTCAGAAGGCCCAAATGGGGCGAACACCGTAGTAAAATCAATGTTTTTGGCTTCACAGAAGAGGAGAGGGGCCAAACTCCGTCCCCCCGTCGGGGCCAGAATCCTCGTGAGGGTCGTCGTTTTTTTAGCCCTCCAAGGCGTCGAAAACGACCACCCTGACGACGCTCGGCCCTCCCTCTCCAGGCCCAGGGGGAGGGGGTAGGGGGAGGGGTAAACCCCTCCCCGAAGGGGAAGACGGGGGGTTGGGGGGTTGAGAACAGAGAGAGCTCTCTAAACCACTCACGCCCAAAGGGCTGGTGGGATTGGCGATGATGCTGATGATGGCGTTGACGACGATGGAAATGATGATGATGGTGATGATGCTGTTGCTGATGATGATCATGACGATGATGCTGATGATGTTTGCGACGACGACGAAGACTACGATGACGATGCTGCTGCTGATGATGCTGATGATGATGGTGATGATGATGATGCTGATGGCGGCACTGTTGATGACATGATGTTGGTGAGGATGATAATGATGAGGACGATACGGATGAGGATGCTGTTGTT